ATATATATATATCCCTTCAATGTGGGTTAACATCAGGTTATGTTGAGAAAAAGTTGGGTGGGGAATCCCCCCTAACCAACCCAACCCTGCTGTTACATGCCTGATTGATATGGTTTACTTTAAAATTATGTGAGCTTCATAGTGACTCTTTCATAAACTAGAATTATTGTGAGCAAGCTCATAAAATGATACCCACCCTCATGCTATTTCATTAAATGTTTTTTTTATTTCAAAAAAGGTCCAAATATTGATTTAAAACCTTTTTAATATTTTACTAGTGCAGATATACATACCAAAAATGACTATGACATACATGTATACTCAAGTCATAGGTAGTAAAACCGTTGTATTGAGCACAAACTTCCAATTTCTCTTCATTCGAAGTTAAATATGTAAATGTGACAAACTCATATAGTACACTTTTACTGCAATGACCTTGAAAAAGCTATGTCCTTGAGTCAAGGTCAAACATGTCCAAATGAACTTTGTTCAAGGTCATGACAAACCCACAGCTCAAAAATAATCCCGAGATGAAACTTCAAGTCTTTTCATTAGAATGTTACAGAATGGGCAAAGATTGCACTATTCTTCTACCATGACCTTGAACTTGTTCAAATGACCTTGGTTAAAGTTTTTGGCACATCTCTAGATCACAAGCAATCTTAATATCAAGTATGAACTTTCAGTTGCATTTGCATCCCTTCAAAAAAAAGCTTATTATTGCCAGATTTTCACACATTTTAAACCATTTGTAACTTTTTTCTACTAAAGTTGCCTGCAAATTTTATTGTATAGATATGACATATATATAACCCCTAACAAGATCACATCTTTCATTTTTCCAGCAATGGTTGTAGATTTTGTGTATATAGTGATAAACATATGTAATTTTCTTCCAAATTTATAAGCATTGACGCCATGTTCTTTTCCCGTTGTCGTGGCAACAATATCACTAAAGACATTTTGTTTTTCCTTTTTTTGGAGAATAAAGTAATTCCATCTTTTAACAAATAAAGTAACCCAAATACCTTATCTTATCACGTTCAGAAATATATTTATAGAAAAATGTCTAAAAATCATTGATTTTTATAAGGATTTATGAACCCGTTGCTAAGAAAATGAATTTCCTTGGATACCAGTCCCTTCATACGTTCGAAAAAAAAATTTGTGTTTTAGCATTAGGTAGGACAAAATCTTTCATATACTAAAAGCTTTTGAAAAAATAAAATTTTGACTTTCCATTCAATGCTCGATGCTTGCTGATTTTGACTCTTAAATACAGATGAAAATCAAATAATTGCACCAATTATTAAGGAAAAGTAACAATTTTTTTAACAACACAATTTCCATTCAAATAATTTTAAATGCTTTTCTGACAAGCAACATGGAAAGCAATTCCATAATAGAAAAATAATGCTTGAATTTATTAGTACCAACATTTCTAAAATAAAAATTAAGATCAATAAAAGAAGAAAAAATTTTCGTGGAGTATCAAATGCATCTAGGCATATTATCATTTTTTGCATAAAGTATATGTAGCTTAGAAATTGAAAGATGTAAAATGATGGATCAACAGGTTCCTCTGCTCTGCTTGAAATGTAATACTAAATATGTAATAATTAATCATAAAGCAAAAAAAAAAAGAAAAATAATAATAATAATAATCCTCCGTTCAATGTTATACAAAGAAAAATATTTCCCTTCTCTAAAAGTCAATATTTACACAATTGAAAGTTTGATGAATGTAGGAAATTATTAAGAAAAAAACATTTTAGATCATATTTTTATTTTGTCATTTAAGAAATAAGATATCATTTTTAGAGTTGCATTGGGGTATGACATGAAGTCGGTCACATGATCAAATTCTATAACGCCCGAAGGGCATTATAGTCGATTTGATCACGTACCGACTTCATGTCATACCCCAATGAAACTCTAAAAAAATTATATTTTATTTCTAATATTTATATTTTACGTTTTCATTTAGTTTACAAACAAATATAAGCATTATTTAGACTTAGATTTTGAAATGCAACGTAACGTTACTACAACGTTATGTGACGTCACAGTCGGAACTTTCCAAATTGCACGTGCAGTTTGCTTTCCATACGCAAGAAAGTCTGATCATGTGACCCACTGCATGTCATCGAAAATTGAATGTCATTTTTTTAGTATTGCCATATAAGGAAAGACATTGGCAAATGTAAATATTTAGTTTTTAATCATTTGAAATTATACTTCATAGAGAATTGTCTATGTCGACCAAGAATTTCAACATCAGATATAAAGACTACTAACTATTTTGACATTCTTCTCCCTGATATCCGGGTTCACAAAATCCGTGACAGGATCCATTTATGTGATCACATGTTTTGTTGTTTTCACATTTACCACATATTTCTTGACAATTATGTCCAAAGTGCCCGTGACTGCATGCTGTAAATTTAAAAAAGAAAAGACACAAAAGGATCAATGCAAGGGATTATGAATCTCTAAAACAGGTCCTTACTACAGTGGTGTTCAATGATAACCTGGGTTCTCCATCATTTCATATTTAACTGTGGCGCAAGAATTGCAATAAGTACTGATATTCGCGTCAATTTCGCGACAAATTCATGAAGGAATCCCGAATTTAACTGAAAAAAAAAACGTGTTAATTGTACACCTATGAATCAATATTCAAATACAAATGCTAGCAGCTAGTATTTGGCATAATGTATGATGAATTTAAGAATAATAATTAAAAAAAAAACGATATCAATTTGAAATAGGGTGGAACAAAAATTAAACTCTATGCAGTCATGAAACAGTAATACCTTCACTAAACTGTCTGAAATAACGGAATTTCATTAATGATAGTAATTAGATTCTGATAAATAATTTGCCCATAGCTGGATTTTTTTAAATTTACTTTCTCAACAACATAAATATTATTATAGTAAAAAGGGTTTTTGAGGAATTTATTATAATGTGCAAACTGTTTGTTTGTTGGTTTTTTTTAGTAATTGGTATTTAATTTTCAACAACACAAATATTATTTCAGTACAAACCGTTTTTGATGAATTTATTATAATGTGCAAACTGTTTTTTAGTATTTGGCCAGGCAAAAAAAAAACCCCATTGAAAATACAACCAATCAATCTGTCAATGCCCCACCCCCAACCCCAACCCCCAACCCCTACCACCACACACACGTTTTTTTTTAAGGCCTAGATGGTAAAGTTATGATAAAACATCTTTTATTATCAATGATATTTGAAATTTGTCCTTGACGCCGCGCACGGTGCTGGTGTTACGTTCACACAGAGCACACTAGACATGTTTACATGTGAATTCCTTTTTAAAAATTTCTACATCACATTAGGTTTGCGTCACTCATTATGATTATATATTTAGAATATCACTACTCGGCCGATTCAAACCTCATCTAATGAAGGTGACGGTATCAGCGAAGGTTTGCCGAATGAGATAGCACATGCTGATGGTGAATCAGTCAAAATCATTCTGTGTTTTAATTGGATTATATGGATTTTATTTAATGAAGTTGACAGGACCTATGACAGTCGGTTAGAACATGTTTTAGTATAGATTACGTTAAAATTAACCAAAATGCAAATAGTAAGGTTGAACTTCAAAAAGGGTCAAAGATCATCGCATGCAACAGTAAACGAATTTCACATTGTGAAGTTATCTCCCGTTGTCGCCGTGACAATCAGTTATAACGATGCAGATCAAGAATTGTTTTTTCCGGGTGGGGGTGGGGGGTCCGACCTCAGTCAAAAAAATTCCAGGCTAAAATTTTCTGAGAAAAAAAATAAAAAAAATAACAAAATAAAAGCAATGATGGTGGGGTTCATCGTTTTTTTTTTTTTTGGGCGGGGGGGTGTATGAAAAGTCATTTTTATTTGCTTCAGTATACAGTCCTTAAAAAAAAAAAAAAAAAAAAAAGCTTTGCAAATTCCAAAGTTGGGGTTAGGGCTCCGGTCTCCCAAGTCCCTCCCTGTACCTGATATTATAAATGATCTTGTGAATCCAAAGAAGTTGAAAATAATTTCCATTTGACACTAATATTAAATGTCTGTTGTTTCTTGTGTTTTTATTATGTCCGTTTCTTGTAAGTTATATCAATGGCTTCCACATTTCATAGGTATAAAAATTCCTAGTGACAAGAAAAATACTAAAATTTAAACTTGGTGCTAGGGTTTTCATGCTTAACATGTGTATTCATTGTGAACGTTCAACGGCTATAAATATTTTTGACCTTGACCCTAAAGTTTGATCCACTTTTAAACTAACTTTTAAAAACCTTGGCAATTACTTTTGAACAGGAAGTACTAGGGATTTCTCTCTTATTTCATATGTATATTCCTTGATACAAGACTTTCCTTTAGATACCAAGAATTTTGAACCCTTGACCTTTGAGTTTGACTTACATTTGTTTGTTTGTTTGTTGTAAAAAGATCTCTCTCGGGAATTTTTCACTCATATGGATACACATAAAAAAAACAATATACATGTACATGTTTTATATTCAACATACATATTTCTGGTCATATTGTTTAAGTTCTCCCTTGAATCAGAAATGATGGTATAAATATTTCAAAAATAATTATTATTAGAGTTGGAAAGGTTAAAAGTGCATAGTAAAATTGACTAAAATCTGCGGTTGAATTAGTTACATGTATACCACTTGTACTGTGCTGTTATGCGACAATTATGTTTAATTTTATCGGGTTTGGTATTGTATTTTTTGTAAACTGGTATTATATAAATATTGCATGCAGTTGAGTGTAACATTGAAAATTTTACCCCAAGAAAACCATTGTCAACCGAGGCGCAGCCGAGGTTCACAATGGTTTTCGAGGGGTGAAAATTTTTCAATGTTACACTCAACTACTTGCAATATTTATTATATTGTACTGAATGTTTTATACAAATACATATTACAGTGAACCCTGCGTGCATAAATTCCACGCAGTCGCTATTTTTTTGTAATACCACCCGTCGTCAAGCAATGTTGACTGTTGCTAAGCAGGAGGGCATGGCTTCATTATTCAGCGGGTAGTAGTATTTATATCAAATGTTTCTCGACGAATCAGATTCAAGTAATTTACATGAAAGTATAATATATAAAATTATCTCTTTTGACTGAAGATTCATTGTCCATAGCGCCATTAGCACTCCTTCATGGCACCTGATCCTACTTCTAATGTCTCAGGGATCAGTGTTTGCTCTGCTCTTATTTTGTATTGTTTTATGGATTTTGAGATTGAATACTGTTCGTTATCTCCATATCCTTCTTGTGTCCAATATCTATTTATAAACCATGACAATTAATCATATTGAAACCAAGGAGTATTTTTTTCAAAAAATGTTAAGAAAAGTAATGAACAAAACATGAATTATATGACATGCTACAAGATAATTTTATTCATATCATATACATGTATTACTTAAGAAAAGTTCACGCTTACGTGAATGTTGCAGGATAACCTCCGAGATCGAGAAATGCTGTTTGAAAGATAAAAGCCGAGACGTTAGCATATGCATTTATATTTCAAACAGCATTTCTAGACCTAGGAGGTTATCCTGCATCATTCACGACAACAAGGACTTTATTTCTATTCTGCCATGTCTACTCAGATCGCTAAATTACAGCTGATGGTTTCCTCTAGAGAGAAACGAATCAGGTCAACATGTCACGATTACGCTGTGCCATTTAACACCAGAGGGAAAATGTGTTTGCTTACCTGTGTATGGAATGCAGACGATTTTAGGTTTCGTTGCATTAAAATAGCTTTTTTGAATTATAAATTTGTTCGTAATATGTATTTATTAGTTTTGATAAATATACAATAACAAAATCACGTTTTTTAAATGTGTAGGGAGGTCCATGGAATAGCCCTGCTTAACTATAAAAAACCGACAATCATCAGCAACTTGATGCAATTTACAGTGTTTAAGCTGCAAAAGACGACGCATCGATGTGGACCTATCAGGCATTTCATTCTACAGGAAAACATCCATTTGAATTGTTCATGTTTGGTACGAGTTTCTTATCTGATAATTTTTTGATGACGTTCGTGATTTATTGGAGAATATTTCCGCGGCATTTAATTGATCTTTGCAATAATCATGATAGAATTAATGATAATTGAGTTAAAAACATGACACACTAAAAATCTCATCAATATTTTTTTTTTCAATTTCTATAATAGGCTGAATTTTATGTTAAAATATTAGCCTTTTCTTCATAAATTAAATGATTTAATCAATAAAGTGAATTCTGTAATTTGATATACTTTTGTTTCTTATTTCTATTAAACATATAAGGATAATTCAAAATTGATGGACATACCAATATTGCATCTCTTATCAGGTGTATTTTTCCATCCTTTTTCACAGTATCCATTAGGACAGGAACCATCTACGTGATCACATTTTGAGGATTTTGCACACTTTCCACAGGGATTTGAACAGTTCTTTCCATAATAATAGTCGTTGCATGCTAAAGATAATATTATATGCTAATTTATGTATGTTTGTATACTGAAGAAGCGTAAAGAAATCACACATAATGGATGTTGCTTAACAATCTTCAATTGTTAAGACGCTCTGTTTACGGAAAAAATGTTGATTATAGACAAAAAAACTGGGATAACGGTCTTTTCCTTTAAAAGAAGAAAGAGTTCATTTTTTTAAATCAGATATAAACTTTTAAAATTGATTGTTTTGTTTTCTAAGCAAAAATAAATTAAATTATAGAGTCTTTGAATATATATCATTCATCCTTCAAAATATATCTATACATCTACAATTATAGATATTTCACACACAGAGAAACTCATACTCGTTAACAATCGAAAAAAACAAGATGTGTTTGTGAAACACTGATGCCCCCGTATGGCAACATAGTGAAAATTAAATTTCTCTTAAAAGCAATGTTAACATATTGGTACCCAAAGTAGGGTCTCCTAACTGGAAATACAATTGTAAAACATGAAAGCCCTATCACCATCTGTTCCCAAGTTATGGCCAGGCTTTAGTTATTTCATAAGTACATAAATCTTCAAGATCAAGGTCAGAAGTTCAAGGTTATTGGTATCCAATAAAAGGTCTTTCCACAAAGATCAATGTCTGTAGTATGAAAGCCATAGCATCAACTATTCAAAAGTTATTGCCAAGGGGTTAAAAAGATTTTTATAGTACGTAATACTCCAAGATCAAGGTCAAACGGTCTAGGTTATTGGTATTAAATGAAAGGTCTTGTCACAAGAATTACATTTTGGAAGTATGAAAGCCCTTACCCTTACTCTTAAAAAGTTATTGCCAAGGTTAATGTTTTTTTATTAGTCCAGAAATCCCCAAGGTCAAGGTCATAATTATTGGTATCCAATCAAAGCTCTTGCTACGAAGAAAACAGACATGAAGTATTGAAGCTCTAGTCCTAACCGTGCAAAAGTTATGGCCAATGTTTTTTTTAAGTAGGTCAAACTCTAAGGTCAAGGTCATAAGGTCAATGGTCTCGATATCAATGAAAGGTCCTGTCATAAGGACAGAATATGTAAAGTATGAATGCACTGGCTCTTACCCTTTAAAAGTAATGGTCAAGGTTTTTTTTGATGGTCAAAAGGTCATAATATCCCATGAAGCGTCTTTTTAAAAGGATTACATATGTGAAATATGAAAGCGCTGGCCTTTCCCGTTCAAAAGATATTGCCAAAGTTAATGTGAAGGTCAAGGTGAAAAGGTCAAGAATGATGGTATCCAGTAAAAGGTCTTGCCACAAAAAAATATACGTGAAGTATAAATATCCTGGAGTCTACTGTTCAAAAGTTATGGCCAAAGTAAAAATTAAATATTTTTGTCTAAAAATGGGTCAAATTTCGAGGTCAAGGTCAAAAGGTCAAATTTGGTGGTACCCAAAGAAAGATCTTGTCACAAAAAATGCACATGTGAAATATGAAAGTCACAGCTCTACTTTATCAAAAGTTATGGCTATGGTTAAAGTTTTTGCGGGTAAAAAGAAAAACAGAGACAGCTACACAGACAGAGAGACAGACAGACAGACACGACAAAAACTATATACTCTCGAAACGACTTTCTTGGGAGCATAATAATTTAATCACTTTATCGTTAACATTGTTCATTTAAAAACATATCGATAACGAAATTACTTTCATTGCAAAAAAACTTTATCCATCCATCATTACACCCTCGTGAACAATACCCATTTACTTTGGAGCAGTGTAATCCACCTGCGCAGTTTCCACTACAACTGTGCTTACAGTATAATCCAAATGTACCGTTGTCACATTCTGATACAAAAACAAACAAGTAAAATTCGATTTTGTTTTGTAAGTGATAATGAGAGTTACAGAAAGTGGACATTCAATAGGCACCTTCATCACATCTCTTTTCAGGTGTATGTTCCCATCCTGGCTCACAGTATCCGTTTGGACAGGAACCATTAATGTGATCACATGTTGCGTTTTTTGTACAATGTCCACAGAGATGAGTACAATTTGTACCGTAAAAACCGCTTTTGCATTATACAAAAAATAAAAGAAATGAAATGTATTCTTTACAAAACTGTATTATTATCAAAAAACTTAAACACTTCTTGAAATAATACAGTGTAACCTACTCTGTACTGAATAAAGTTCGATCAGTCACGTGATAAATGTCAAGTATGTGTACTTAATGTAGGTCATAAACTAATTTCAATACCGCAAGTGGATATTCTTTTCAAAATTAAAAGTTAAAGCTATGATATGTTACTATATACTTTATAATTTCTGGAAAGTGCTGCTGTTTTGAAAAGAATTATTGTTTTATAAGTAAAAATTTCAAGTAAATAGGCTAATGTCGAAACATATGTGGCCTTTATCAACTATTTTTTGTACTTATGTAGTCACGCTTTCGAATTAAAGAAAGAAGCAGCATTTTTAAAGTTAAGGAAAATGTCTTTTATTTATTTGCAAGAAAATGATAAGATCTATTGAGTGTATGCCCTTGCGAAAAGGCGATTTAATAAGGCAACTCAATGTAAAACATGCCAAATATGTACGCATAAACACGCTATAGTTATTTAAATACACTGTCTCGATAATCATTGAGTAATTGCACTCAACAAACGTTTTATATTGGTAAAAATAGTCTACCTAAAATCTGGAAATAATATTATGTTTATTCATGGAAATTTTTTTTCAATGCGTACAAATTACTTTATTTCCCTCTCACAGCAAATGAAATACTTAATATCGACAGCATCCTTGCGATCATTGATTTGTTAAAATCCTGCTATGTGGGATTTAACCAGCTATTATGCATTGAAAAGTTGTAAATTTGTTTATAATGCTTATAATGTTTATAATACTTATACAATTTAAAGTTGCAAATTATTTCATACCCTGGTATTATGAGGAAAATTATTTTGTGTGATGTCACAGTTAGCCTTCCCCGTATAAATTAGGCCCCACTTTACTTTTCAGCCTTAACAGAGCTGCAACAGGTGATTTGAAAGATATTCATCTTTTGGGAAGGGGTGTCATGTTTCTATCTAATTCCATTTTTTTCTAATTTTGATCCCGCCCCACTCTTTGTAGCTCATAAAGTATACGTGCGCAGGTAGTACAATTTTCTCCTTTGGCTAGGCACTGAATTTTATTGAAATCTACCTATATGTGAAAGGAGAAAACTGCGCTCACATGCTATTTTATAAAAATTGTAAAATCTGGTTGGTCTTTCCCATTATGAACAGATCGACCAAACTGGATTTTCTAATGTAAGAATAAACTCATATGCAAACGAGGCAATGGCGATACTTTCTAACTGAACAATAATCTGAATGAGATAAGATACTAGTGAGTATTCCAAAAATACTACGGAGATCTCATGCTTGGAAAAAAGGCTTACTTAACCATGTTTCTGATGATTTCTTTATGTATTTGAACAGCAGATTAGACACATATCACATAACATTTGACAGTTAACTTGTGACTGTATTTAAAGGGTAGTGCAGAGGTGGTTAATATCATGTGGATACATGTATGAGAAGCAATGCATTTGGGCGCTTAAGACTTCATACTTAAGGGGGAAGCACCTACTGCGACACGGGACCTTGGTTTATACGGTCTCTTCCGAAAGACCGGTCTCCACGTCCCACAGTGGGATTTTTAACCCACTACGTAAGGATTGACTCCTTACTTTTTGCTAGCCACTGCACCACGAAAGATGCTTGAATGGTCAATTACTTACCTTGATGATATTTTCAGCAAAGATTTGTGTGATTAAAAGGGACTCTTTCATCCTGTGCATAAAATTTGATTCTGTTTTTGACAAAACTTGTTAAAATGTGTCCCGATGAAATTTCCTTTTTTGTTTTAACGTGTGTTATATCATATAGAATATAACTGTTTTCATTTTAAGAAAAACTGTTACGCCAGTATTTTTTTTTATTTTTAGGTTTACGAACATCAGAATGAAAACGTCCCGTAGGAGAAGGAAATAAAAAAAATTCTTTTGATGAATTATCGACTTTTGCACATTTATTTTTGCTTCTTTTTGATGTTCTCCTAACAGGCACCTTGCCAGTGGACACATAATGGTTAAAAAATGGAAGATAGAAGCTTTAATTGTTTTTTTCCTCTTCTTCCAGTTGGGACCACGTAGTTTAATAAATCTTGTGAAGATGAAAAAAATACAGATAATAAAATAAAAATCCTTTTTTTTAAAATCTTTCAATATATATTCATCTTTTTAACATGTGTTAGGTGAATGTGTAGAAATTGTTCTTAAATATACTTAAGAACTAAAATAAAAAATCCTATCATAAAACAGACAAGGAGAATTGGGGAGGGGGGTGACATTTTTTCATTTAAGTGTAAAATAGTTGTCCCCCGCTTTAGCGAAAGCGAGGGGACATTAAATCTCATTCGTTTGTCTAGCTGTCCGTCTGTCTGTCCGTCAGTCTGTCTGTCCGTCACAAAAACTTAAACCTTGCCCATAACTTTTGATTAAGTGGAGCTCTGACTTTCATATTCACATGTGTTTTCCTTATGAGAAGACCTCTCTTTGGGTACCACCAAATTTGACCTTTTGACCTTGACCTTGGAGTTTGACCCACTTTTACACAAAAATTCCAAACTTTTTCTTTGGCCATAACTTTTGAATGGTAGGTACTAGGACTTACATATTTTACATATGTCTTGTTTGTAGCAAGACCTTTCATTGGATACCAACAATTTTGACCTTGACCTTGGAGATTTACGTACTTATGAAAAAACTTTAACCTTGACCAAAACTTTTGAATGGTAGGGGGCTAGGGCTTTCATACTTCACATATGTAATCCTTTTGAGAAGACCTTTCATTAAATACCAAGAACTTTGATCCTTTTACCTTGACCTTAGAGTTTGACATACTTTTTAAAAACTATAACCTTGGTTACAACTTTTGAACAGTATATACTGGGACTTTCATATTTCATTTATGTGTTCTTTGTGGCAAGACCTTTCATTTGATACCAACAACCTTGACCTTTTGACCTTGGACATTTTTTGTACTAATAAAAAACTTAAACCTTGACTATAACTTTTGAACGGTAAGGGCTAGGACGTTGCGCACGGTGTTGGTACACATTGACGTTACGTCAAAATAACGTTAAAAAGTCATAACGTTGTTTTAAACGTTTTAAACCTTATACATGCATATTGTAGATCTTTAAATGAATTTTATTTTTCAAAAGTATATATAAAAAAATAAAATAAAAAGGCACTTAATGTTCAATGTTTGAACCTTCATTTTTGGAATATTTATATGTTCATTAATAAATCTTAATAATAAAATTTTAATTACTGAAATGCCAAAGGCACTCAGTGAATATTCCTCTTTCTATTTTTCTCACTTTTCTGTCTTACAAGGAGAAAATATTTAAGTAGTTTTCCCTTTCAACCTCCTTCAATATATTTTTTTCAGTTAGGTCATTACAAGTCTTTTATTTTTATATAGGTCCGCATGCGGTTTGGATGTATAGAGAAAAAATGAGAGTTAATTTTTTTATACTTCCTACGTTTCAATGGAACTGGTGTCATTTTGAATTAAAAAAGATTAGTATCAATTTAGTATATTGAGGGGATGAAAAAAAGGAGGGATGGAGACGTTTCACCATTATTGAAAATCTGTTTTTTCACGAAAATTCTTAAATCTTTTTACTATTTTTGGTGAAAGAAGGGGGGAGGACTCTTATAATGCATACTTCGTTTAGTAGGGTATTTTGTGGAACAATATCATTTTGGGGTTTTATTAATTTGATGATGATTAAGTGTAATATATATAATTTGTGAAAAAAAAAACTCCAACAAGCTCCGGGGTTGAATATAGGGATTGGGGTGGGGTGGGGGTGGGGGTGGTTCCTGCATGTTCACAAGTACCTGTGAGCTGGTACTACGGATCTGCATGAAAAAAAGCCACGGCGATATAATTTAACGTCATATGTATGCATTGCGTAAAATGAAGTTTTTCGTACCTGTGACAAAATGGCTACACTTTTATTGATGCTTGCATTTATTTCATGTAGTCCATCACTGTAAAGATTGTGTAATTTGTAAATGCAGAAAATAAATGTTCTTTCAAGCTACATACATGATTGCCTTATATCTTTCATTAATTTATATATTTTTTATATGTTACTGAGACATATTTAGTAACAATACAGTGACTCGTGCGTGCATAACAAAATGGCTACACTTAAGAAAGCCTTCCTAATATTTACGTTGGAAAAGTAATATAAAATGTATCAACTCAATAAATCTAAGAAATATATGTACTAAAAGATTATTCCCCAAAATTAATATTTGTCTGGGATTTCTGTTTTCTGACATTTTACTTACGCACTGTAGATCCAGCCTTATTCATGAAATTGATAAAATGATTTTAAAAACTCAACAATATCTTTAAGAATGCATATATTTTATTGTACCCTGTAAATTGCATTTAATTCAGAGAATTTTAAGTGCATTTTTTCATACCTTTTAGTTGCGCTGACAATAATTGATGTAACGTCGGACATGGGAATTTCGCCGTACATGACCAATACTGAGTAACGCCACATCATAGTTTAAATAATATCAATTATTTTAAAGAAAATTTAAAAAATTATTCATTACTTAAGATAACATTAATGATTTTATTTTTAATTTTAAGTAAATATGACATCGCGAAAACGCCAATTTCTTTGCGACTTCAAGAGTTAGATATTATAGTATCAACACCGTGCGCAACGTCTAGGGATTTCACACTTCAAATATGTAATCCTTATGAGAAGACTTGACATTGGATACCAAGAACTTTAACCCTTTGACCTTGACCTTGGGTTCAATTATGATTTCTAAATAGATGACATATGATAGGGTGTTCATATTACACACAAAACGTCGTAAAAATGACATCTCACCCACAATGACACCGAAAGCGGGGGACCAAAATTCCTTGAATTTGCTTGTTTTTTTTTTTTTTTTCTGCCTGCCACGTTCAAAACAATACTAATGCCTGTATATATTTGTACATATCTTGATTTTTAATAGTTGAAATATTTCATTTCTTTAGGCTATTGTTAATTTCTTCTTCAAATGGACTCAACTTCTTGTCTTCTCCCATAGATTTACTCCTTACATCAGATGCATAAGCAATCTTTTTTCTGAAGAATTATTCTTAGACTCTAAGCTATTACAGAAACATAAACAAAGTCTTTGGCAATAGTTACCATTGGCAGTTTTTAACCTGTGGGAGGGAAATAATTTACAGACAGATACTTATAAATACAAATAGATAGTTATCTCATCAACATGGCATTGTGCAACAAAGTTGTCAGCGTTTTATTTCTCCCCTGGACGGGTGAAATGTTTTGAAAGGCACTCCTATCAATTTACCCTAAACCAAGCTATAGTGCTGCTATGGACTTCGCAGATCGACTTTATTTACCCGCCATGTTCATCTTAAAACCGGAAGTACGAGTTCGTAAATTTGAAATCTCGATCTCGACTGAAATTGGACATCGGACAGAAAAAAAAATCCGTTTTTCTCAATTTTATTTTTTTTTTTCCTGAAAACTCAAAAAACTTGAGCGGAGGGTTTGTAAACCTAAAAACAAAAATGCTGGCCAATGCTGATCCTCAGTTTTCAAATTATGTTATAGAGGGCAAAATGTCTAGATTTTTTTTTGAATGAGCATCTTCATCAAGTAAAATAGTGTAAATGGATCAATACAAGGGAAATATTCTTGCTTGATTATGCAAACATAATTTGCTTCTCGGAGTTCAATGTCTACAACAGATTTTCAACGTCACATTTCGTCGTGACTAACTTTTGCTGACTGACTACATATCAACTTATAATTGATGTAATTTGTTTCTTTAGAAAATTAAATTCTGTTTTCTGATATTTAGAGAGTGAATATATACTATTCCTATCAGAAATAATAAGTAGAATTCAAGGGGATAATGTTGCAATCAATGTCAAAAAATGGACTAGCTCACATAATTCTAAAGAAAAAAACAGTGATGACGCTCATTCCGTACACACCTCATACTTGTGGGATCTATGAGGTAAACCGATGTTTTACCTGTGAGACATGTTTCTCCATAATATCCTGCTTCACATGATCCGGGGCATGATCCACTGATGTGATGGCATGTCTTGTTATTTGCACAGTAGCCACATTTTTCTTGACAATCTTTGCCGTATTTACTAGATGTGCATGCTGTAAAGAAATGAATCGAATTCATACATGTAAACAATCAACCTAAATTGACATTTTTTTTTCTAACGATGTACCAATAAAATTAGCGATTACTATGGAAATCAATGTGAACGAGTTTGGCGTGAAACCTTAAATCAATTCAAATTTGAAATGAGGAAAATTATATGATTTTCATGTCAAAAATCTGTAGGGTTTTGAAAAAAAAATTCTCAAAGTTTGCAAAAAGGTATTTTTTGATACACACTAGATAGAGTAGGCAAATAAACGTCCTTGTAAACCTCTTTCCTACTGTTTTTTTTTTAATATTTATTATTTATTTCGTCGTTGTCATTTTATACAATTGTTTTAAATGTATCAATTAAAAAAGTTTTAGTTTAGTGTTTAGCAACGACCATGATGTGTAATTTAGGAAGCGGTATATAAAAAAGCGTAAACTGATCCAACGCAGTTTATACCAGTATAACTTGGATTGCTCTTTAATTTATACCTTATAATTTAATTTTCAATCAATAAGGATACAAAAACAGATAACTTTTTACCTTAAAACGCCTTTGAACTCTTCATATATTTAACATAACATCAAGCGGATTGATTAGTTTTGACGTTAGTCATTGTGACGTTGGCAACCCAGGTTATACGATTTAGATTATTTTTTATCCAATCAAATGACGCGTTACAACAGAAATATTTTATTTTCAATTCAAATTTGGACAATTTGAAATGTACAATATACCAGGAAGCTTCCAAATAAGTTTCAGCTTTTCTGTCCCCATGGTTCTTGAATAAAAGATTTTCAAAGATTTTCCCCAAATATTTCTATGTAATACTTTGATTTCCCATTGTGTCCCCGCCTTACCCCCTGGGGTTATGATTTGAATAATTTAATTTAGAATCTGCACTACCCCAGGATGCTTCCACATAAGGTTTAGCTTTTCTGGCCCAGTGGATCTTGAGAAGAAAAAATTCAAAGAATTTTTCTATATATTTCTAAGAACAATTTGATTCCCCATTGTGGCCCCGCCCTACCCCAAGGGGTCATGATTTTAACAATTTAGAATCAACATTACCCCCAGGATGCTTCCACATAAGTTTTAGCTTTTCTGTCCAAGTGGTTCTTGAGAAGATTTTTTAATGACCCCACCCTATTTTTGTATTTTCTTAATTATCTCCCCTTGTGAGTGGACTTGGCCCTTCATTTTAACAATTTAAATTTCCCTTTATCCTAGAATGCTTTGTATTAAGTTTGGTTAAACGTGGCCAAGTGGTTCTTGACAGTGGTTTACAGACGGACAGACAGACGGACAGCTAGACGAACGACGCACAAAATGTTTTCAGAAAAGCTATCTTGTGCCTTCGGCTCAGGTAAGCTAAAAACCATTGCCAACAGACAAAATCTGTAGGAGGAGTAGCGTTTTAAAGAAATGTAACAGAAATTTCTATTTTTAGCAACCCTGGCAACACCGTTCATCGAAATCAAAAAACCGATGCAATATCTTTTGTATCGAAGTGTGATTTACTTGTGTGCCAAGTAACATTAAATTCAGACCAAAACTGTACGAGGAGTAGCGTTTTAAACGAATATCACAGACATTTCTATTCATGTAATCTACTTGAGTGCCAAGTTATATTGAAATCAGACCAAACCTGTAGGAGGAGTAGCGTTTTAAACGAATTTCACAGAAATTTCTTTTTTTTAGCAATAATGGCAACATCGTTCAACGAACTTCAAAACCGAATTTCTGTATCTTAGTATACTGTACTTATGTGCCAAGTTATATTGAAATCAGACCAAAACTGTAGGAGGAGTAGCATTTTGAAAAATTGTTTACAGACAGACGGACAGTTAGACAGACAGACGGATGGGGGGACGACGGACGCATTACTATTGCATAAGCTCTTCTAGTCTCTGACTAGTAGAGCTAAAAATGACGATAATCATTAAGGTTGCGCAAACTCAGTTTTCCTAAGCAATTAATACAATAATCACTCTGGTATATTTAACATCTAACAGACAATTAAATTCATACCTGTGAGACATTTCTTCCCTTGATAACCTGCTTCACATGATCCATTGCATGATCCACTGATGTGATTGCACGTCTCGTTATTTACACAGTGGCCACATTTTTCCTTGCATTCATCACCATATCTTCCAGAACTACATGCTGCAGAGAAAAATGTTTGAATGTTTTTAAAGATTTTTATTTCTAAAAAAATTCTGAAATAGATCAACAATCAATAAGTTCACATGTAAATAATACTAGAGTAAAAAAATAAACTAAGATCATTAGAAGTATGCAGACGTATTTTGTTGTAAAGAATTTGTCTGAAAGTGTCTTGATGAAGTGAAATTCTTACATGTGAGACATTTTTCTCCATAATATCCGGGTTCACATGATCCATTGCATGATCCACTGATGTGATGACATGTCTTGTTATTTGCACAGTAGCCACATTTTTCATTGCAGTCATTACCAAATTTTCCAAAAGGACATGCTGCAATGTAAGATTTGACATCTACATATCTTAATAAAGACTTTTTATCGTTTTTTCTTTGTTGATTTTTCTTACATTTTCATTTTCTGGTATTTATGATATATGTATATATAACACTATTTGCTTCAACTCCCTGATGCCTTTTCAACAATGCAAACAATAAAGATTTGGTGTAATGTAAATAACTGAAACATAACAAAATGAATTATAGTTTTGAAAAATAGAGGAAAATTAAACATTTTTCTACTCAAATTAAGGTGAATGTGTTTGAGGGAGGGTGTATGTGAGAGAAGGGGGCGTGTGAGAGTGTGTGTGGGGGGATGTAAAACAAAAATGTAGTTAACCAGAAGTGAATTTTGCACATCGTTGTGGAAAATGGATACAATCAAATGATTCACTGACAAACTGACTGACAATTGTTGATATCTTCTGGTGTTCTTATCTGAAAACTTGATTTCTGTACAATTCATTAATGTTGTTAATGAGCAACTCCAGCATCCTTTCTTTATCAACTTCAAAAGAGTTTTTTAACAAAACAATTTTCCTGATGTGAAAACATCCAAATTCCTTTTATTTCTGATATTAGAAAATCTCCGTTTTAATTTATTGCGATGAATTATTGAATAAAATGTTTAGAAGGCGGCAGTCTATATGTCATAAACATTCAAGCAAGAGCCCCATGGGCCATACAGCTGTCCTGAGTAACATTGTTAAAGTCATTCTTTATCAGATTTTCCTCTATGTAATACCTATTGTAGCCTCGTCCTAACCCAACCCCCTTCGGGGAACGTAGCAATTTTAACTATTTAGAATCTACACTACAATAGGATGCCTCCTTATAAGTGTGCTTTTCTGAGCCATTTTTTCCGATATATATCTAGGTTAAACTTTAATTCCCCATTGTGGCCAAGCACATCCCCCCAGGAGTCATGATTTGAACAATTTAGAATTAACACAACTCCAGGATGCTTTCATATAAGTTTCAGCTTTTTTGGCCCAGTGGTTCTTCAGAGGAATATTTTAATTTTTTTCCCTACATATTTTTCTTAATAAAATTTGATTCCCTATTGTGGCCCTGCCGAAGTTTTGGGGGTCATGATATTAACAATTTAAAATCTACTTTCCCCCAGGATTCTTCCAAATAAGTTTCAGCATTTATGGCCCAGTGGTTCTTGAAGAGGAGATTTTTGATTACCCCACCCTTCTTTTGCTTTTTCTTGATTATCTTCCCATAAGAGGGGTCTTGCCCTTAATAATTCAATATATCCTTTCACCTAATGATGCTTTACACCAATTTTGTTAATAAAAGGCCGAGTAGTATTTGAGTTCAAAAATGTGAAAATTGAACAGACAGACAGCTAGACAGACGGATGACGGACAAAATGTGATCAGAAAAGTTCACTTTAGCATTCAGCACATGATCGGATGAACTAAAAAATGATCCTTTTAAATTCCTTTCAAGTTTTTAAAAAAGTTTTTGAAGATTCCCATCTGAAATACTGCACTTATAGAATAAAAGAAGGTATGGTTTCAGCTTTCTTGTGCCCTGAAACTGTTACATTTTATGTTATCAAAAAGTTTTGAAACTGGCCTAATATTAAATAAGTACATGATTGTGATAAATTAGAAAAGAATATGGCGCAGAGGAGTACCATTCTGCCAATATGACGTCATTAATGTGATGCATTTCTGTATTTTTAACAGACTAAATAGTGTATTTAGCTTAACAAAACTTACTCAATACATATTCAAGCACAGATCTGCTCTAGTTTCCTCATTTGATATATAATGAGTAGAAGAGTTTTGCAAAAGGGTTTAAAAGATAAGGATATAATTTCGGGACGATTAATCTTGCATTGACAAATGCTGTACTAAAAATCAAACAACTTAGTTTATTCTGACATTATTCTTGAAAAAAGGGAGAAAAAGAACATCTGTGACCACAGACAAAAATAACATATTATATTTCAAAATAGCGGATAAAAATAATTCCAAATTATAAAAACTTGTATCAATTTATATTCTTCATAAAATAAAATACACAGTTATGTACATTTATTTATTGTATGTAAGAATCATCTGCTTTTTCCACACATAGTCATGCAAAAGATATACACAAGTTGGTCAATAGAGATAAACATACTCAGATTGTCCTAGCAATTCTGGCCAATATTATACCTTTTTGACAATAGAATTCTCACCATTGAGACAATTCTTCCCTCTATAACCTGCGTCACATGACCCAGGACAAGACCCGTTGATGTTATCGCATGTATCGTTTCTTGCACAGTGACCACAAGTATTATTGCAATCTTCACCATATTTTCCCGCCTTACATTCTGCAGAAAAAAATAGCTAGACATACATTAATTTTTGATAAATTTTATATAAATATATAAACATAAAAAGAAGAAAATAAAAATATAAGAGGTGTTTTTATAAACACCGATGCCCCCGTATGGCACCTTTTGACGAAGATTTAAATTTCTCAAATTTCAAAGAGCAAAAAACAGCTGTTCAAAATGTAATGCCAAAGTTGTTTTTTTTTTCAAAGGCATGTCGAATTCCAAGTACAAGGTTAAAAGATCAGTATGTTAAACTCAAAGGGCAGACCTTTTTAAAAGGTATACATTTGTGAATTGTGAAAGCCCTGGTTCTAATGCTGTAAACATATATTCAAGACTCAAAGTTTTTATGAAGTTGGACATACGGTAGGGTCGCGGTCAAAAGTATTCAAGACGTGTGTACTCCAAGAAATGATTTGTCACAAGGAATATACATGTGAAATGTTAACTCCATAGCTCCAAACAATTAAAAGTTATGAGAAGGTATTAATTATTTTTTGCTATTTTATTGCTATTTTTTTAGGGAAAGGGCAAAACATATATACCCTCGAACCTTAGATTAAGAGTTATATAAAAACAGATAAAATTATGCAAATTATCTACAGATTTTGTTTATTATTGTACTTAAAATATATTTAAAACTTATATGATACCAAAATAAATCCAAAAAATGCCAAAGATATAAAGGTATATGTTGAATGAACTATCAATTTTTTTTTCCTTTCATGTGAATTGAATACATTTTTTTTATAAGTCGCATGTCCTTATTAAAAACAATACAGACTGCTTACATTTAATAAGATTCATCATATTCTTATTAGTTTAACTGAATTCCAAGTATTCAATGTCAAGCTAATTTATAATATTACAAATTAGTTTCAGATTCCAATAATTTGTAATTAAAAAAAATAACAAATAGTGTTCAAGTAAAAAATCCACGAAACCAATACAAATCAAGAGAAGAGTAAACAAAGTTTGAGTATCAGAAGTTGGATCAGGTGCCATGTGGAGTAAGCATCCCTTGTCGACCGGTCACACCTGTTGTGTGCTCCTCGTAATATCTGGGAAATAATAGAAAATCTGTTGAAATTTTAGTGCAAAAAAAAAAACAGTGGCCTAACAAAAAGATGAGAAAATGGTCTGTCAGAAATTGAAAGATAATAGGTAATACCGTTGTTTTTGCTGACAATGTCATTTAACAGATCATAGGACCTATCATAGTCGCAAACTACGACCAGCATTACAATCATTTCCAATTTTGGCAGTGGTTAATTTTGTGGAAAATTTTTCTGAGCCCATAAAAATATTGACAAGTTCAAGCAGAGTATATAGTTGGAAAAGAAATGTTAGTAATATCCAATTAAAGACATCACAACCCAAATGTAATTATATATCAATCGGACGATTAATCCCATCTTGAAAGCTAACAATGTAAAATATTGAGTTTTTTTTTTAGTTTTGGTACACTTGATTATTAATTTCGTATATATTTGGTTGTGTGCCATTTTAAAGAAAACTAAGGCAATTTTCGTCGAACCTTATGGAAAATTATCGTTGAATTGTATAAATTAGACACTAATTTGATCCCCCCCCTAAAAATAATTACTATTTTAATTAACTTAAGACCTTTTTTAAAAAACTTTGTGAATTCCAAAAAAAATAATAATAATAATAATAAAATTAATTAAAACTCCTGACATTTAGTTGAAAGTATTAAAATTCTATATCCTTGGGGACTTTTTACTTTACACTGATGTTAGAAATGGAAACTTAAACTTCATGGGTTATAAAGTCTAGATCTGGGACAGGGTCATTTTATATTTTGGTGAACCTAACTCTTTGATAGAAATGAAAGGATACCTTTACAGTATGGTCCAAGGTTTGCTGTATTTTTAACACAACCAAATCCATCACATCTTCCGGTTACGTCGCACTCAAATTTACACGCATCGCATGGGACACAGTTTTCACCATAGCTCTGACGCGGGCAGCCTGTAAATATGTGTAAAATATTTGAGTATATAAAATAATGCTTGAAGCCTCTTCATACCCTTTATAAGGTAAAGCATCTTTCTAACTCGACACAACAAAGCCTTTTTATAGTTTTTTTTTTTTATTTATAATAGAAACCACTTGGACCGTATATATTATTATGTTTTCAGTACAAATAAGCTAGTATATTATGGAGAGATTCAATCTTAATTCAGCAATATTTTACACGCTAATAAAACAGTGAATGATTTTGAAATTTCACACAGTTTTACATTCAAACATAATCATAGTGTTATGCTTATCATGTTTTATTTAAAAAAAAAAACGTCCGGTTTAACTCATATTCGCTAGCCAAGGGGTTCTGTTCAACGTTGATCGACCAATGAGTATTTATTTTTTATAATTTTTTTTTGCTGTTTTATAATGTTTTTTTGTAAAGGGCCATATCAGACTGTATAGAGTTGAAGTTTTTTTACAGTCTTCGGACTATGCACTTCCTCTCTTTTGATAATGTAAGAAATTGCATGATAAAAAAAAATTTCAGTTATTTCATTGTTCAAGACAAGGGAGATAAATTTCTGATGATCTAGGTTTCATAAGACTTGAGGATTTTCAAGATTCTCAATCGTAAAAAATGACAAAAGGAAGGGAGAAATTGACATTCTCTAACTATAGTTGTAGTTTCCGCTACACTCCTACATATGCAGTGTTGTGAGCATAGCGAAAGACAACCCTTGATAGAGAATGTATAATCGTCACACGGAGTTCCTCGGATGACTTGTACCTCGCACATAACTGAATAGAGCGTAGCGGAATCAGCCGAGGATTGCCGATTGCATACTCGTCAGAAATAAATGCTAAATAACATGATAATTCTCAATAGCAATAACTTATCAAAGTACTGAGACAGTACTAAAAGACGGAATAAAAAATAATCTCCCTGCTAGATACACAGATGTGATTTTTGTTTTGTTTTGATAACAACATTTTTTTTTAAATTTCTATTTTAGTAATTAACACACTAAAACAATTTTTTGATATTTTATTTTATGTTTTTCATTTCTAAGTCTATAAACTTTTCTGTATTGTCCGAATTCCACCGTCTCCGAATTAATAAGTGAACAATGGATAATGCACACGCCTTCGTAATACTACGCAGTAGAGTAAAGTACTTTCTTTGTATAATTTTATGATTAACAATATATATTTTTAGTTTTTAACATGCTTTATTTATTTGAGTAAAAAAACTTCATATCACTTTCTTCAGTTTGATACCAAATGTTTGTGTTTCAATAAAAACAATTTCTGTTTTCAAATCTAATACATGAGTTATCACCACAGCTTCCGTTTTGAGGCCTCGGATAGTAAATTAATAGACGGGGTCACCTGACCCCATCTTAAAAGCTAGGTCTATTCATTTTCATTGTAAATAACACCTGACCCCATCTTAAAAGCTAGGTCTATTCATTTTCATTGTAAATAACACCTGACCCCATCTTAAAAGCTAGGTCTATTCATTTTCATTGTAAATAACACCTGACCCCATCTTAAAAGCTAGGTCTATTCATTTTCATTGTAAATAACACCTGACCCCATCTTAAAAACTAGGTCTATTCATTTTCATTGTAAATAAAGTTAAATTTTTATTGTTTGAACTTCAAGGCTTTACAGTTTGTATTTATTATTTTCCCCTTTATTGTTTGAGGAAGGTTTTGGAATTAGCCAAGTCTGCCAGTCAAAGGTTACGGAGAAGGCCGAGCAAAGACTGCTAGGGGTAGATCAGTTTACCGTTTAAGGTTGTTGCTAAAAATGGTTAGTTTTTTTTTTTTTTTTAAAAAGATATACTTATTTTAATTCTTTACTCTCTGGAATGAAAAAAAAAACAAGGAGACAACGACCACATGCTATTCAATGAATAGATATATGTCATCCAAAATCTATATGTACAAAATAAGAAATTAAATCTATATTGATGATGTAGAGTTGTACATTTAATAGAAAAAAAATGAAAAAAACCTATACCTTTGTGTTAACAATTCTTTAAAAACTGCCATGATTTAAAATTTATTTATTTCTGTTGATGACGCTATATTTGTGCGTACTTGCAACTTAAAAATACGAGATTTCTTGAGATAAACAATCTGGTCTTTTGACAGCACGGTATGCCAATTTAGGGATTATGAGTAGAGTTAAAACGCTCGGAAAGCGAAGAAACATTTTCACAAAAAGTTTTCAATTCCCATCGCAAACATGTTTGTATTAAGTACGCCTTGCTGTGTCTAACCAAGTCAGTAAACTTTATATGTGAATAGATCACAAATTTTAATCTTCAGTTGAAAACCATTACCACAAAAAATCATACCGTAAATCTCTACTTCACAAATTTCCAGAATAGCTTCCTCGTTGTCACTTTTATGAATAGTTACGTATCGTGCTGTTTGTATACATTCCACTTCAAGAATTGTATTAAGTGTCTCGTTTTTTGGGTCCTCGTAACATAAGTTGCTATCATCCAGACTGATATCTGAACTGTGGGATGTAAGTACAGAAAATCCTTGGAGTCTTTTTGTATTCAAGTTATCTCCCCCTTGAAGAAACATTGAGAAAATTCATAAATGAAAGCGATTTTCGATTGTTTTCATCATCATTTGATTTTTTTTCAATATTCTACCAGGTTGCTCATTTAACAATTTTTAAAGACCCATTTCTTTTTTACCGAACGGTATCCTGGGAAGGGGGACTGGTGTAGGTAGTGTTATTTACCTGAAGACCCCTAATACTCAAGATGTAACAAACCTATATACATGTAGCATTACACAGGAAGTCTGTCTTTGGTTATCATTACGTGTTTTGTGTCTAATTTTGTGTCAAACTACTTAAAATAATCTGAATATTTCACTATAAGACTTCATATTTTTTGTAAACTAATCGCTTTTATTGATATCTTTTGAAGAAGAAACAAGAGGCCCAGGGGCCAAATCGATCACCTGAGAAAATCGGTAAGGAAAAAGCACAAATCAGAAGGAAGGGAGAGGGGCTTGAATTTTGATACTACTTAAGGTTGCTTACATATTGATACAGCATATGACGTGTCGACTTTGCTGCTCTTGATAAAAAGATTTTTTTTTTACATTTTCTTCCTATATATAACTTTTTAATAATTTGAATTTGATTCCCCATTGTTTCCCTTCCTACCCCAAAGGGTCATGATGTGAATAAATTTAACTCTTCAATACACGAGGAAGCTTAAATGTCAAGATGACTAAACATAGCTTTTCTGTTCTTTGGATTTTTTCCCCTTTATTTTTCTATATAAAACTTTTATCCACCATTGTGGCCCCACCTTACCCTTGGGGGTTATGATATGAACAAATTTAATTCTACACTACCGGAAAATGCTTCCATATAAATACTAGTATTACTAATCATGGCTTTGCTATTTCACCCATTGTGGTCCACCCTATCCCTGGGGTTATGGTGTGAACAAACTAGAATCTGCACTACCTGAGGATGATTCCACATAAATGTCATTAATCATGGCTTTGACGTACTTGAGAAGAAGGTTTTTAAAGATTTCCCTATCTAGTGCTTCGTAGAACTTTGGTCAGCCATTCTGTATCCCTTCCCTACCCAAGGGGTCATGATTTGAACAAACGTAAATACACTACCTGAGGATGATTTCACACGAGTTTAATCTTTCCAGGCCCAGTGGTTCTTGAGATGAAGATTTTTAAAGATTTTGCCCCACCCAACCCCGGGGGTCATGATTTGAACAAACGTGAATCTACACTACCTGAGGATGATTTCACATGAATTTCATCTTTCCAGGCCCAATGGTTCTAAAGAAGAAGATTTTGATAGATTTTCCCTATAAAATACTCCTTTGTAGAACTTTGAACGGCCATTGTGGCCCCACTCTACCCCTGTGGCTCATGATTTGATCAAACTTGAATCTACACTACCTGAGGATGCTTCCACAATAGTTTCAGGAAACCACATGAGTTTCATCTTTCCAGTGGCCCAGTGGTTCTTGAGAAGAAGATTTTTGAAAAATATCATTTTTTTCACTAATTTATAAATATCTCCCCTTGGAAAAGGGCTTGGACCTTCTTTTGAACAAATTTGAATTCCCTTTACCTCAGAATTCTTTATGCCAAGTTTGGTTGAAATTAGCCCAGTGGTTCTTGAGAAGAAGACGAAAATGTGAAAAGTTTACAACGACAACGACGACAGACAACTTTTGATCAGAAAAGCTCACTTGAGCCTTCGGCTCATTTGAGCTAAAATTATGGGGGAAAATGGTTTTATTTAATTTTAATTTTAAAAAAAAATTTAAAATCAAAGAATTGATCACAAGTTAAAACTGCATGAAAAGCAATCAATTAATCTATATTATTGATGCCGAATCGGGTACATTTGGGGGCGTCAACCATATTTAAAACCTTGTTATTAGTCATTTTTACTGATTTATTTATTTGGTTATTAATTCAGTAAGTAATTCTGCATATGAATCAATAAAAAAAACTTACTGTCATTCCTGTACCATATTTTAACGCTTTTCAAATTGTAGATGTCCCCGAGATCTAGACGTAACCAAGCTTCTTTCTTCCCTGTGGCAGTGTGCATGCAGTTATTATATATTTGATTGACGTTTTTGTCAATTGTTTTGTCAGCAGATCCACGGGAATCTTTATCTTCATACGTTGAACTGCTACTCACCTCAGTTTTGTTGGTAAATACGAGCTGATCTATTGAAATTAGAGAGAAAATTAAGATAATATTAAGTTAACTTATGTGACTTTAAATGAGAAGAAAGTTATGGATGGTTTCTTCTGTTGTTGTTGTTTATTATATATAGCAACAGATTAACAATAATTAGTTTAATCAAGAGGCCCATTGGCCACATCGCTCACCTGAGCACATGGGCTAGTTAAAAACACAAATCAGTTATTATTGAAAGAATAAAGCTTATTTGTTTGGAAAGGGGGATTTGTTTTCTATTACTACCTTGAGAATGTCAATATATCAATAACGCATACAAAAGTCATGTATAATTTTGCTATTCTTGAAAAGAAGATTAAAAAATGTTTTCCAACATATTACTCGATCTCCTATTGTGCCACCCCCTCACTGACATTTTTTGAATAAATTTTAATTTTCACTAGTTGCAGATTCTTACATATCAATTTGACAAATTTTTTCTGTTATGGTGAAGACTTTTCTTATACAATCCTATGTAAAAATTTGATTCTCCATTATGGCCCCACCCTACCTCCAGGGGTCATGGTTTGAAAAAACTTGAATCTACTTTTCCAGAGGATGCTCCCACATGAGTTTCATCTTTCCTGGCCAAATGGTTGTGGAGAAGAAGATTTTTGAAAGATTCCCCCATATATTCCTATATAAAACTTTGATCAGCCATCCTGGCCTCGTCCTACCCGCGGGTATCATGATTTGTATACAAACTTGAATCTACACTACCTGAGGATGCGTCCACATGAGTTTAATAATTGCTGTCCCAATGGTTCTGGAGAAGAAGATTTTAAAAAGATTTTACCTACATATTCCAATGTAAAATTTTGATCGGCCATTGTGTTCTTGCCCAACCCCCGTGGGTCAAGATGTGAACAAACTTGAATCTACACTTCCTGAGGATGCTTCCAAGTGAGTTAAATCTTTCCTGGCCTAATGGTTCTGGAGAAGACGATTTTTAAAAGATACCATAAATTTTTCCATCAATTCATAGTTTTCTCCCTTTGGAAGAGTGCTTGGCCCTTCATGTGAAGAAATTCGAATTCCCTTTACCAAAGGATGCTTTGTGGCAAGTTTTGTTAAAATTGGCCAAGTAGATCTTGAAGAAGTCGAAAATGTGAAAAGTTAACAGACAGACAGCTAGACGGACAGGCAGACTACTAATCAAATGTGACCAGAAAAGCTCACTTCAGCTCAGGTGAGCTAAAAATACCAAAAAAATTCGAAGTAGATAAATGAACAAAAGAACTCATCAAGATGACTCAAATCAAAATTGTACACATAAAGACCTGAATTAAACCAGAAAATATTGAATTATTAAGTACATGATCTCGACTTAATTCGGCCTGAAAATATGACATTATAAGTTTGTTAGTTTTAAAAAGGCATATCTTATGATAAGGAAGCACATTTCTTTTCATTTACTGTGTGGTGGTGGTGGTGATGGGGGTGTTCCATGAGCTCATTATTTGTTGGTGTTTAAATAAGGGACATAAATAAAATCGATATATTTAAACATCCACAATTATTTCTTTTTGTAACTTTATACATTTGCTATTCTTATTGAGGTGTGGTGTGAACACACAAGGAGTATGCTAATTAGTGTAGCTAGCAGTGGTTAACATGGATATACATGAATACCACGTGAAATTGTTAGGGGATAGGCTTAACTTCCATTTTTAAAAAGAAAGTAAGTTCTACTACTAGTGCATTGCTCATATGATACAGTCTCATCCAAGAGAATGGTGTCTACGATCCATATAATGGAATTCGAACCTACGACGTTAGAATCGAATCCCTGCTCCGCAACACTTGAGCAGTTATGTCGGTGCAAGTGAACCCCGGATTCTATTGGTGCATTATCAAACATTTAGTTAGCAATCAGAACCATTCGTTTTACTGAAATAATATGATTCAAAGAGTACACAACCAGCCTTTCGATGAAAAAAGGTAATACCTAAATTACTCCGATATATTTTTGGAAAGTGTTCATTCATAGCCTTTTGTAAGTAAATATACCATTAATTAGATGAATATGATTAGCTGCCTAGAAAACAAAATATTTAATAATAATAATAGCTTCGTCAATTGCAAAGCAACCAGTAGGTTTTCCGTCCTGTTTGACCGAAAGTTACAATTAATTAAAAAGAAAAATAGAGTATGACATTCTCTAAGATTAAAATACTCTAGATATGTATCGATAATTGCAGAAATGCTTTTATTGGCTACTTCCGGTTCAACAGTACGTGAGGTCGATGGACAAAAAAGTAAGTTTTATGCTTCCGGTGAAAACTGTCACCCTAACAATGTGTAAATAATGGCAAAGAAATGACGTCATTAGACGAATTTTGATTATCTCACTAGCTGCCACTCGATGTTGTTAACACCTTTGCTTCAATAATGTACTACAAATTTTTCACTGGAATATCAATTTAAAAAAAAATTGTCCTTCTTGATCCCTTTCTTCATTATTTTGATTAAAGAAAAGAATTAAAGAAAGAATTCAAATCATCATTGATGCTGTAACAAAATTACTTCTCTTCACTGTAAGATTAAAGCTATGCATATCTTTGATATTGAGATGAAAGTTATGTTTGCAACATTCTACTCAATTTTTATCAGTCTTTAAATATGCAAAACACTTCTTGGGTATTTCATTGTGCGTTAAGTCTCTTTCTGTTTATGGAGTTTATGCAAGAAAAAAAAACAAAACAAAACAAAACAAAAACAAAACAAAAAAACAACAAAAACAAAACAAAACAAAACAAAACAACAACAACAAAAACACCAAAAACAAAAAAAGTAATTTGTTAGCCCATGAGGCATTATAACATGTACATAATAAGTCCATCATCTACTGGCAATTAACACCTCGTTTAAAAACATCTGCCTTTAAGACTGCAAAAAAGCGTCGGGGACAAAATATGGCATAATGCATCTATTTAAATTTCTTATAAATAAAACGACTTAGAACTACTGTATACAAGGAAAATTTTCCCCCCGTTTTATTTTCGCCCCTTTTGCCCTACCCTCAATTGAGCGAATTAAAAGAAAACAGTATAATTTCTTAAACAAAACTATGACCTGGCAAAATTAAAACGGGAAGATTGTTTGCATGTGTGAAAGTGCAAAAATAAGGACGAAAATAACCCTATATACGGTATTTACGATTATGGACAAAACTTCTATGAATAAATAAAGAGACTAATCGATATATTTATTGTATGGAAAAAACGTGCAATAGAGAAACTTCTCTTAAATGTTTATGAATATTTTTTTTATTACTTATTTGCATTGCGTTCAGTGTGCATGAATTGTTTATGGAAAATGTGTAGAATATGTACAGCCTGTCTCAATTAATCAAACAAAGAAAGTACAAGTCGACGTTTTAATTTGAAATGTATTTTGATTGTACTCCAGATGACAAGTACCACTTTCATGGAGATAACTGTACACTTAACTTTGATATCCAATACTGTTCGTTATCTCCATACCCTTCATTAACACTTAACAGTTTCATCACATAATCATTATAATAACTTTACTGTTTCTCGGTTCAACATAGCGCTCATAGTTTATACTATATTTCAATTAGGAATACAAAATATTAAGTTAATCACTATCTTAATTATAGATGTCTTAAAGTCTAAAAGAGGTATGTTCTTATAACTTCAATAAACTTCTAGGAAAAATGCTTCAGACTTATAATTACTTAATTTTATGAATTATGTATTTGTTAAATCAGGCATTCAACATGGAGGAATAGAGTATATACTGAACTTCGTCTGAAAAAAAAAATGATGCTATGACACTTAAGGTGTTAAAAGTATAATTATATAAAATAAATGATTCTTACCATAGCATGTAGTATAGTATAAGATATAAGTCCAAATGTAAATCCAAAAATAAAGTTTAAATAGATTACACATATAAAACCCCATGTTTGATCACTAAAACATACTTTTCGAAGGAGGAAGAAACTTCATAAACAGGCACGTACATTTCTCTACTACCATATCTTGATAAGTATGTCTCTTGTTAATTTTTTAACCACTGATGAATAATATAACAATATACTTCCTTTTTCTACAATATCTAGAACTTGCATGTCATTTTTTTCATAATGATAATTACGCATAAAATACTACAAAAACCTGATGTCATGAATCTCTTTTCTCAGACACGGAAGACTTGTGTGTGCTTTTGAAATATTTAGTCAAATGCAATTTTCAACATAAAATAACTGAAAAATGCATACTGTTCTTCACTTCTTTTTTTAAATTTAAAGTACAAAATGTCATTTTGTATTAATAATTTAAGATCGTGGTTACCTCAAGTTACCTTTAAATCTAAAAATTAAAAAAAAAACCATTATGTTTGAATTTACTGACTTTAGTTTTACAGATACATAAACAAAACCTTATAGTTAAAGAAAATAAGATTCAGAATTCTATTGTAAAAGATTGATTTGCAAGTTGAAAAAAACACGTTGATAGAAGAAACTGCTCCATCCATACCAACACGTACACAATAAGAGGTTGAGGAATCATCCATATGGTAAGAGAAGAATGCAAACTTAATTATTTACAAGTATAATTTTGCCCATATCTAAAATTTGATTCCTTTGGCCGAACTTTAATATACAGATCTATTTTAAATCCCACATAAATTCCATATACTGGCAGAACAAGCATGGCTGTTCACGCATAATAACACACATGTTATATGCTTTGGAATGCATATTTATTACAGTACAGTAACAAACCATTTCCTATAATCAATAATTGTCTGCTAGTAGACATTTAAATAATTGATATTTTATGTGTGGTCAATCTTAAAATAATTTTAATTCAATATATCTTTTCTTTTTATCATAGTAATCTTTACAACGCTGGTTATTGCGAAATGATTCTATATTACAAAATTGAAAAATACATTTAGTATCATGCAACTTGTTAACTCCATTTTTTTTTTCAATTTAGCTCAAGGTGATGAAATAACATGGGGTTTGATAACAGGACAGCAAGAATTCAGCATGCCTTAAAAAAGTGGTTGGATTGAAAATATTTTTTTCACGCATTTAACGAATCAATCGTTTCATTCATACACTGTAATGAGGAATAATCTAGAGAAAGAGGGAAAGATAAACAGAAGAAGGGAGAATGATGAAGAAAAGAGATTACAATTTGTATCATACCGAACCACATGTTCCTATATTTAGTATCTCGAGATCTCGTACAAGGAAGGATATAGACGAGTAGGAGAATGTTCCAGACATTAAAATAAAGAAAAAAAGACGCTTACATCTAAGAAGTTTTAAGCTGATT